TAATAAAAATATAGTTTTATTATCTGCTTAACTTTATTACTTGTGGTGAGCAAACTTGTGTTGTAAGGTTTTAATAAAAATTGAAATTAAAAATAAAACATTACAAATTTATAATATATTGACCGAGTACTTCTAGTGATCGAGGTTTTAATTCATGAAAAAAATTGAATTCTCAAAATTCTTATCAATTGCACAAGACATCGAGATTTCTTAAGTTGATATAGTTTGTACAATTAGAAGTCAGGTACAATATAATTAAATTAATTAAAGGCATATCTTTATATCATTTTATTATAAGATTAAAAAAAACATATATAATCTCTTCAATCTATATATACAACAATATATCAATCTATTTTTCTATTGATTATTTAGCACTAAAAAATAGTCAATAACAACAACAATTATATTCCTAAGTTAATAAGATTAAACAGTCACACATAATGTGATACAAACATTTTGCATATGTAAATATATGAAATTAATTAGATCGATATGCTTGAACAGATACTACAATGTAATAGAATCAGTAACATTCAAAAAAAAATCGAATTGAATAACCAACCTTCATTTTATAGGTGTTTTTCTTTAAAAAAAAAAAAAAAAAAAAAAAAAAAAAAGGAAAAGGGAAAAGGCACAGCTAATCAACATATATATGGACATATGGTAGACTTAATTAGCAAACAACAACTTTGAGTGCAAGATAGACAATCACGGACTAAGAAAACTAGGGTCCCAAATTTTTTATTTCTGATAAGTGCATTTTGGGTAAAACTTACCTTGAAAGTATATATAATTAACAAAGGATCACAAGAAAGTAAAAGTTCAAACCAAGAAGACAATTAGACAACACACATGAGAAACTTGAAATTTTGTGATTACCAAATTAATTGTAAAACTAATTTTACTGTGATTCGCATGGTCTGATAACATATTTAAATGACCTAACCCCCTAAATTATTTATTCTTTGATCAAAGAAAGCTAATTATAGTGTGTCAAAGAAAAGCAAATAGTTAGGAGCATAATTGAGAACCTTTTTTTTATAAAGTGATATGAGTACTCGTCTCGTCAAAGGGTTAGGCGCAAATGTTAAACCCACACACACACACACACACACACACACATATATATATATATATATATATATATATATATATATATATATATATATATATATATATATATATATATATATATATATATATATATATATATATATATATATATATATATATATGCAATTACACACTCTTAATTGATTCCATCTCCAAAACACAAAAATAAAAGATGCACACAACATATACGTACAACTGCTAGTGGGAAGGATTGCGTCTCTTTCTTTAGCCAAAAAAGAAACAGCAATTTGTCTAGTGGAGATGGTGGACGGTAGTGGTGGCAGCGGCGAAGGCGGTGGCGAGAGCGACATCATATCGTCAGTGAGGGTTGGGGATGAGATTATTAATTAATGTATATATAAACATTGCCAGTTTTCATCAAGGATACTTTATTGAAATAATGCCTAAATACACACACAACTTTGTTCAGTTTAAAACGCTTTATTTGATTATTAATAATTCATAATAAAATTAAGGGTGTGTTTGGTTTACACATGGGAATCGGAATCGGAATGAAAATCAAATAATGGATTTTGGTGAAAATATTTTGCATATTTGGTAGTAGGGAGAAATTAGAATGATTACAAATATTGATGTTTGGTTATGTATAACCCTATAATGGGAATAAATGTATTAAAAATACAAAAATAAAAATTCAAAACAATTGATCCTAATATAATGACATCTATAACACTAATACGAACAAAATAAATCAAAACAAAAATTTAAAAGCACTAATCGAAACTTAAAAATCATATTACGGATGGAATGAAACCTTTTTTAATTAGAGAATGAAGTTTTTAATTGAATGGGTAATTAAATCACATAGTTGTGTTTTAAACAGTTGTCAACCAAACACTAAGGGGGTGTTTGGTTCACAGAATGTTATATTACCTTAGGGAATGTTAGATTGCTGAGAATGTTAGATTACTTGGAATGTTCGATTCTTGTATTTGGTTTAAAACTAAGATATGTAATATAAATCTGTTTGGTTGAAGAGTTACTTTTTTATGGTATGATGATTATTTTTACTTGAATATTATTAACCTATTTTTATGTATTTTAATAAATTTAAATTTAAAATAAATAAATAAATAAATAAGACAATGGTAAATGTAGAAATAAATAATTTAAAATTAATTAACTAAGAGTTTGAACAATAATTAACTTAAACAATGAATTGAAATGACAAAATTAGCAATAAAACAAGGGAATGTGAGATTACCTAAGAAAATGGAGGGTATCTCTATTAGGACTCTATATATGTATTTGAGTCTACTTATGATTCTCAATCATAGTCTCCCTAAGTCTCTTCTTGTATATATACCTAGGTGTTATACTCTTGTCATTCATTACTGTTACGTTAATACAATTCATTACATTTCTCATCTGGTATCAGCTAGCTAGGGTTTATTTCCCATGGCCGACGGATCTGTCAATTCCTCTAAACGGACCGTTTCTAATGCCCCTCTCTCATCGGTTACTTCAACCGTAACCACCCTCTCCACAGCTCATCACTTCATCAGCGTCAAATTGACTAATCGGAACTTCTTATTTTGGAAGGCTCAAGTTGTTGCTTTTCTCAACGGACATGATTTAATGTGTTTCTTCGACGGAACCAATCCTTGCCCGCCGGCCACGATTTCGTCCGGCGAAGAGGGAGCGCTGCCTCTGCCGAATCCTGCTTATCATCCATGGGTTCGTCAGGATCAGGCACTTCTCTCTATGCTCATGTCATCGTTGTCTGATGAAGTTATGTCCTTGGATATCGGACATCACACCAGCCGTGCAGTGTGGACTGAATGCCATTGCTTGGCTATTTCTTGGGTTCAAGTCATATTATTGTTGTGTGTGAGATTTTGGGTGTTTTGGACTTGAACTTGGCATTTTTGTTGAAAATCCCCGAAGGGATAACATTGGTGTACAGGGGTGTACCCGCGGACGGAACGGCGGGCAGGGCCCTACCCGTCGCCCCACCCGCAGGGTACGTGGTTCGTAGGTGTATGTACCCGCGGGCAGAACCGTGGGTGGAGGTCCACCCGTGGCCCCACCCGCGGGGAACACTTGTGGCGTTGGGCGGGGATTTGTTCCCCGTGATTCTTTTGACTCGGTATTGATGTTTTTACCTCCCGATGTTGTTTTATTAGGCTATTTGTGAGTCTTCTTGATGTTTCGTATGTCTTGAACGGTATGTTAGGAATCCATGTAGGATTTAGTGTCTTGAATCGTGCTAAGGGTCCAACCTTGTGATTCGTTGGGCTACTTACCTGTTTGATAAGCATGCTAGTTTGATGTTGATATGCTAGTGTGTGTGGTTTGTTCCTTCGTATTGAGATTGCCAACTTGTGTTGACAATCATTTGGTGTTGGATTGTGATCCTTTGTTGTTGAGTATGGTCTCATGTCCTTATTGTGATCTCTTGATTGATTCCTATGATATGATCGTATGTTAATCGTTGTACCTTTGTTGATATTTGATTAAGACAATTGTTGAGTCTTAGTCTTCTTGGTAATGATGATGACCTTGTGTGACTATGATTGAGATTGGTGGTTTGTTACTTGAGATTTGCTCACGAGATTGGCGGTTTTGTGATATGATATTTAATGGTACCCTGGCCAGGGTAGCCATAAGGTTGGAACAGGGCATAAGGTTGGAACTATGATACTTGTGACATGTAGTTGTCACTGTGGCATGTAGTTGCCACTATGTGAATGTGAATTCTTTGCTTATGAGCATGTCTTAATGTATTCTACTTTGTGATCAGTAGAATGCATCCTGAGTTGTTTGTCTTTCATGTTTGTTGCTTGTTGTTGTTGTGAGAATGGTGATTCCTTGCTTCCTTTGAGAGTGTTGGATGAGTCTTTGAAGTTGACTTCTCTCTTGGGTTTTGAAATGATATATACTGTATTCCTTTTCAAAATGGTTTTGTTTATACTTATATATTTATATTATTTAACGCGTATTGATGGGTTACTAGCAATATTCACTGACCGGGTGTCATCCCTATGTTATTTTTCCCTTGTTCTACAGGTTTTGAGTAGATAGATGTCTGAGAGCGTTAGACGTGGATCGCTAGATAGATTAGTTGTCCTGTGTAGACGTTATGTTTTGTTGGCCTGTGAGCCTAGTTAGCGGCCTGTGTGCCTTGACACTTTATGTTTTGTTTGAATTGATAGATTTTTCTGCCTGTGCACCTATGTCTGAGATAGGTGTGGCATAACTCGCCCTGATTTTATATAGCTTTCGTTACTTTATGTCTTGATTATTAGATGTTTTCCTATACTTTTAAGTTTTAAAAATGTGGTAAAATCGGAGGTGTTACAAAGGTGATGCTTCCGTCACTGATTATATCGGTCTGGCACAGGTTCTCATTGAGGATTTAACTCTCGCCGGCTGGCACCTTCCGCTTGAAGAACAAAACTTTTACGTATTTCGGGGTTTGCGCCCTGAATTTTGGGGTCTTGTATATTCTCTCAATGTCTGAGGAACACCGGTGAGCCTTCATGAACTCTCGGACCTCCTCAGTGCCGATGAGTTCGTCGTCGGCAGTGGAGGACCGTCGCCGACAGCTTTTTCCGTCTAGAAATCTGGGCAATCTCGTGGCGGTAGTGGCGGCCGTCGCAGGAATAGCGGTGGTCGTAGTCGTGGTAGTAGGAACGACAATCGCCAACCGAAGTGTCAACTTTGTGGAAATTTTGGACACACGGCACATTCGTGTTGCAAACGGTATGAAAATGATCCTACGCAATATCGAAGTCTGGCTGGAGCTCTTCAGTATCTTACTATCACCAGACCAGATTTATCCTTTGCAGTCAATCAACTTTGTCAACACATGCATGCTCCTACGTTCACTCATTTGGAACAAGCCAAACCTGTATTGAGGTATGTCAAAGGGACTCTATCTTATGGTTTACATATCTGAAAATCTGAATACAGAGAATTACATACCTTATCTGACTCAGACTAGGCTGGCTGCCCTGAGGATCGTAAGTCAACCAGTGGTTATGTTGTTTTTCTTGGGTCAAATCTTGTGTCTTGGGTATGCAAGAAGCAAAGAACTGTTGCAAGATCCTTTACGGAGGCTGAATACAAGGGGTTAGCTAATGTTTGTGCTGAAGTGATCTGGGTTATCTCCCTCTTACGTGAGATTGGCATCACTGGGATTTCAGTTCCAAATTTGTGGTGTGATAATCTTGGTGCTACATATCTATGTGTTAATCCTATTTTTCATGCTCGCACTAAATATGTTGAAATTGACTATCATTTTGTGAGAGACAGAGTTGCCAAGGGAGAGATTCAAGTCAACTTTATCTCTACCAAAGATCAACCTGCTGACATATTTACAAAAACTTTAGCAGGTCCTAGGTTTCCTTTTCTTAGAGACAAGCTACAGGTCACATCTGTACCCCGTGCTTGAGGGCGAGTATTAGGACTCTATCTATGTATTTGAGTCTACTTATGATTCTCAATCCTAGTCTCCCTAAGTCTCTTCTTGTATATATACCTAGGTCTTATAATGTTAATACAATTAATTACTGTTAATACAATTCATTATAGTTCTCATCATCTCACATTCCCTTGCAATATCTAAAAACCTTATATGGTGGTTATGTTACATTCCTGGGGGTAAATTACATAACTTGAACCAAACATGGAATCTTATATTACGAGGCAAATATAACCTTGGTTATCTTATATAACCTGAACCAAACGCCTCCTAAGGGTGTGTTTGGTTCGCAAATGGGAATCGGAATCGGAATGAGTATCAAATACTTGGTAATGGTAATGAGTTTTAGTGAAAGTATTTTGCATGTTTGGTAGTAGGATGGAATGAGAATGATTATCAATAATGTTGTTTGGTTATGTATGATTCAATAATGGGAATAAAGATTTTAAAAATACAAGAACACAAAATCAAGACAATTGATTCTAATATAAAGACATCCAAAACACCAATATGAACAAAAATATATATATATATATAAAAGCACTAATCAAAGGGGATGAGAAGGAATAATGGAATGAAAGGGGATGATACCATTATTTTATTTGGGAATGAGTTTTTCAATTAAGGGGGTATTTGAAACCCATAGTAGTGTTCGAAAAATCTATCAACCAAACAATACCAATCGCTTTGAATCTTTGATACCCATTTCTTAGATCAAGTTAAACCTGTCAACCAAGCACACCCCAACTATGATTTTAATTCCAATTCCTAGGGTGTAAATCCATGAACCAAATCCACCCTAAGTATATGATAATTTCCAATCTATTTTTTAATTTGATTTTGGTAATTGAGCTAGCTAGACTTGTTATTGATTGAAGAATGTTTTATTTGATTATTGTGATATTTTTTTAGGTGCACACTGAATAATGTAAAATAAATTGATTTTGGAATACTTAGATTTTTTAAATATTTCAATTAAAAGAAAACGAAAACGAACATCTAGATCTAATTGTTATGTCGTGGAACCATGTCCACCTTGCAAGGTGAACACAGTTTTATGTTTATAATTATTGAACTTTATGTTCATAATTATAAAACTCTATGTTAATAAATTTTGAACTTCATATTCACAATTATTGAACTCTATATTCACAATTACAGAACTCTATGTTCATAATTATAAAATTTTATGTTCATAATTTTTGAACTTCATATTCACAATTATTGAACTCTATATTCACAATTACATAACTCTATGTTCATAATTATTTAACTTTATATTCAAAATTATGACAGTTTTAGAACTTTGTCCATCTTGCAAAGAGGACATGGTTCCACAGCATAATTTGCCCATCTAGATCGGTTTGGGCCAGGTTATTGAGATTTTAATAAAGATGAATTTAATTTGTCGGACTCCAATCACTAAAACCCATGTTGGTGGGCTGATAAAAGCAAACGAAAATAAATAAAATGTCCATATTGATTCATTTATTATTTTCTTTATTCGTAGAGACAACAGTGGATATTACATCTTCAGTACAAGTGGCTTCTTCCAATACTATGGCATCATCAACACGATGCATGCATTAAATATACTCGTAAGAACTTAGAATATTGCTCCATGCATGCATAATACTCGTAAGAATTTAGAATAACTTTGTTTAAAGCAGGTTTGAAACCTTGGGGGGAGGGGGTGGTTTTGCTGCAGCTGCCTTGGGTGGAGGTGGTGGTTTGGTTGCGGCTGCCTTGGGAGGAGGGGCGGTTTGGCTGCACCTACCTTGGGTGGAGGGGGTGGTTTGGCTCCGGCTGCCTTGGGCGGAGGGGGTGGCTTGGCTGCTGCTACCTTGGGTGGAGGGGGTGGTTTGGCTGCTACTACCTTGGATGGAGGGGGTTTAGCTGCAGCTTCCTTGGGAGGAGGGGGTGGTTTGGCTGCGGCTACCTTGGGTAGAGGGGGTGGTATTTTGGCTACCTTGGGTGGAGGGGGCGGTTTAGCTGCAGCTGCCTTCAGAGGAGGTGGTTTTGCTGCAGCTACCTTCGGTGGAGGAGGTGGTTTGGCCGCTGCTACCTTGGGTGGAGGGGGTGGTTTTGCTGCGGCTGCCTTGGGTGGTGGGGGCGGTTTAGCTGCAGCTGCCTTCGGAGGAGGTGGCTTGGCTACGCCTGCCTTTGGTGGAGGGGGTGGTTTGGCTGCGACTGCCTTCGGAGGAGGTGGTTTGGCTGCACCGACCTTTGGTAGAGGGGGTGGTTTTGCAGCAGCTACCTTCAGAGAAGGTGGTTTTGCTGCGGCTGCCTTGGGTGGAGGCGGCGGTTTAGCTGCAGTTGCCTTCGGAGGAGGTGGTTTGGCTGCGCCTACCTTAGGTGGAGGGGGTGGTTTTGCTGCGACTGGCTTATGTGGGGGAGGTGGTAGTGGATCCGAGGGTAAGGCCAATACCTTGAGAGCTGGTGCGGGAGGAGGGGGTGGAGGAGGTTTAGGCTTTGCTTCGGGAGGAATAGAAGGTGGAGGAGGTTTAGGTTTAGGCTTTTCCACGGAAGGTGCGGGAGGATGGGGTGGAGGAGGTTTAGGCTTTGCTTCGGGAGGAATAGAAGGTGGAGGAGGTGGAGGAGGTTTAGGTTTAGGCTTTTCCACGGAAGGTGCGGGAGGAGGGGGTGGAGGAGGTTTAGGTTTTGCTTCGGGAGGAATAGAAGGTGGAGGAGGTGGAGGAGGTTTAGGTTTAGGCTTTGCCACGGAAGGTGCGGGAGGAGGGGGTGGAGAAGGTTTAGGCTTTGCCACGGCAGGTGCGGGAGGAGGGGGTGGAAGAGGTTTAGGCTTTGCTTCGGGAGGAATAGAAGGTGGAGGAGGTGGAGGAGGTTTAGGTTTAGGCTTTTCCACGGAAGGTGCGGGAGGAGGGGGTGGAGGAGGTTTAGGCTTTGCTTCGGGAGGAATAGAAGGTGGAGGAGGTGGGGGAGGTTTAGGTTTAGGCTTTTCCACGGAAGGTGCGGGAGGAGGGGGTGGAGGAGGTTTAGGTTTTGCTTCGGGAGGAATAGAAGGTGGAGGAGGTTTAGGTTTAGGCTTTTCCACGGAAGGTGCGGGAGGAGGGGGTGGAGGAGGTTTAGGTTTTGCTTCGGGAGGAATAGAAGGTGGAGGAGGTGAAGGAGGTTTAGGTTTAGGCTTTGCCACGGAAGGTGCGGGAGGAGGGGGTGGAGAAGGTTTAGGCTTTGCCACGGTAGGTGCGGGAGGAGGGGGTGGAGGAGGTTTAGGCTTTGCTTCGGGAGGAATAGAAGGTGGAAGAGGTGGAGGAGGTTTAGGTTTAGGCTTTTCCACGGAAGGTGCGGGAGGAGGGGGTGGAGGAGGTTTAGGCTTTGCTTCGGGAGGAATAGAAGGTGGAGGAGGTGGAGGAGGTTTAGGTTTAGGCTTTGCCACGGCAAGTGCAGGAGGAGGCGGTGGAGGAGGTTTAGGCTTTGCTTCGGGAGGAGGAGAAGGTGGAGGAGGTTTAGGTTTAGGCTTTGCTGCGGGTTGCATTTCAAAACCTTGTGTCAAATTATCACTTACACTCTCACCATTCTCCCCGGTAACCACTATAAATGAAGATCCAACAAGCAGCACAATAACCCAGAGGTTAGCCAACACCAGAAAACCCTTTGTTCCCTGGAAAATACCCATCTTTGCTTGGCTACCCACTTTATCTTCTTCACTTCACTCACTTACATAAAAACCCTGCATGCAAAACCAGTATTTATAGCACTCCCAAGACCCTCATACATAACCATAATAACCAACGTCCCATACACCTTTATTACCAATCCAACCTGGACAACAAAAAATATCTCCACGTGAACAAATAACAATATAAAAAATCTGTTTCAGTCACATGTAGTTCCAAAGATACGTGCAGAAATTCTACATATATTACTACAAACGATGATAGTTGTTTACATGTATGTCCTTCTCCATAAATGAGGTTTGTTAGAAGTAATGTTTGGGAAAGGATAAACAGTTTGGAACACTAGTATGTATTAAGATAGGTTGGTGTGATAGGAGCCCTTAGCTGTACGTGAGACTCTACAAGGAAACTAAACATACAGATCAGATCAGGTGGGGGGTTATGTTAATGTCGTCTATGTTATTTTGCGCATACGTACAAGGTTTCCAACGACGTTGTCTATGTTCGGGGTGTTTGTTTCATCACTTTCCAGGGGGGATTTAAATTGATGCAATTGAAGTATATATTTCTTCATTTTTTAATACTTCTGAATTAGATTCATTACACCGTCTGTTCACTTTTCTTTGTTAAACGCCTGCATTTTCACTTTTAATTTGTACTTGGGTAAACTATTTGACCATGCCAAAATATTATATATGAAAATTAGTAACCACATCTTAGAACTTAAGTGGATGAAATGTGATTCTAAACATATTTATCTCCCCCTTTCTCCTTCTTCCTCCATTTCTTTCTCTTCATATTGAAGATGCCCTTATAAATATTTCGGAGTATGTTTTTAAGGACGAGTAATGCTATACATGGCTCCTATATTTTCTCTCCAATTTTTTTTTTTTTTTAAATTAGTGGTGGATTTGCTAATTCATAAGCACCTGATGAGTGATGAATAGAGGTTACATTAGGAGAGGAAAAAATCATTTTTAAGGCCATTTGTTTGTTTCCCGTCATTTCAATTCTTGGAAAAAATAATTGATGAAAATTATATTGTTGTACATAAATATGTGTGGACATTACGTACTATAGGTATTATATTATGATAATGACTCTTCATCCTTATTGATTTATAGTTAGAGTTCTACTACATGTATTATATTCTCAAATCCTACGCCTTCAAATTTACTCCCTGATATGGCGGGCTCTGATGAGTTATTTTCTCCATGTGAACCTATAACATGAGTTATTTTCTCCATGTGAACCTATAACATGAGTTATTTTCTCCATGTGAACCTATAACAATTCAACATGTGATAGTGTTTGGCCTTGACTTTTATTGATTGTCATGACATGAATTTTGGAGAACAATAGAAGTTGTTAATGCCATTCGTGGGCATAATTTGAATTTCCCCAAAACCTGATCTGCATCTTCCAAAACCCGATCTGCCAACCTAGTAATCTACAAACCGAATCACAACTCAAATAGGTTTGGCCTTCAGCAAAGTAGCACGATTTTGAAGGTAGTCCAACTCAGTGATACTAGTACCACATCCAGAGTTGGTGTCATTGTTCAGATTCACCGTCACTTGAATTACCAACCACTCCATCACCACGAAGATTCACCGTCACTTGAATTACCAACCACTCCAATCACTTGAATTACCAACCACTCCATCACCACGAAGTCCAGTCACTTGAATTACCAACCACTCCATCACCACGAAGATTCTTTGTTAACCTTAAAACTTCTCGCTGCCCCCACAATATCTTGCCTTCTGGTAAAATTTGCCGGAAATCTCCACCAAAAACTTCTTGAGGAGAATACATCATCTCATAGCCAGATTTTAGAGCGGGGGCAAGATGGGCAACAACACAAGGCCTCAATAATTAGGACCTAATTAATTAATTGATCAAGCTTCAATAATTAAGACCTAATTAATTAATTGAGCATGACAAAACCATTATGTAACATATATTTTACGATATTAGTTTTAAAGATTATACAGTTAGTTAGTAGGGCTTCATTTATTATACACTTAGTTAGTAGGGCTTCACTTATTTATAAGAACGGGTGTCCAAATATCCGAAAACTGGCCTGATCATCTCATCTAATTTCATAACACGTCAGTGCTCCTCTGTATCTCCGGTGAACTAACAAGCCGCCATCAAACTGGGACGAAGAACCCTGAGAAAACTACGATATGATGATCTAGGATGGTTGTTCCCTTCCGTCCGTTGAATTTTTGTAAGGCCGGGTTGATTTGGGAAAAGCAGGTCTGTATGTAGCAGCCGAGAATGAGTCGTTGATTTCACACTCTTCTATTCTACAAACGGTGGATGATTTGTTGACAAGATTATATTGTTAAGAAGATCTTGAACGAGAGAAAAGATGAGAGGAGGTGGGGGATTGAAATTAAAGCGGTTACGTTGCGGCGGAGATAGGCCGGCCGGTCACGTCAGCGATAGGAAGAGACTAAACGAATTGAAGCTTTGGACTCGCGATATGATAATAACATCAAAGTCTCCGATGTGCAGTGGAATTCTGATGACACACCATGAATTGAAATTGGTGATGACTAGCTACATCCTAGATTACAATTTCTTTGTGAATGACTTTTGGTCTCTCGATCTCAGGTTAATGTTAATTAATACCTGAAACCCTAGCTAGGCTGCTCTTTTAAGAATGTGCCCAGGTTAATACCTATAGAGTTAATACTAATGGACTCATTAATTAAAACTGAAACCCTAGGGCTACTAGGCTCTTTTAGGAATGGACCGGTTAATAGTTAAAAATGAAACCCTAGGGCTCTTTTAGGAATGGAAAACCCTAGGTCGGTATTTTAGGAATCCCATTAGGTTAATAGTTAACAAATGTATAAATAGTTGATCAAGGGAAAAGAATCTCACTTTGCTCACGGGACAGGTGACTGCATCCGATCCTTTTGGTTCGTTCATCTCGATCTAAATTTCTTTGTGAATCACTTTTCAAATGTTTCTATTTTTTTATTTTATTTTTTCATTTATGCATGCAGTTCATTGAACTCTCTGGGGATGGATCTTATGGGCGGATCATCAGACCCTCCAGCAGCTTTTCAAAATTCTGAAAAGGAAACACGATTAACCAAACCATCTGTTCAGGTAGTTACGTTGAGGAATCACAAGTTTATTGTTTAATCATACACTATATATACAAGTAGTCACCGTTTCTGCAAAAACGCAATCATATATATATGTTTGTTCTTTAACTTTTGAATGATGATATTTTCGAATTATGTTTTGATTTCTACTTTTGGCATACATACGAATTGTGGATGTGAACTATTAGGATTATTATAAGTAGTTTATTTTCACATCGAGTACGTTTTTAGTGTCGTCTCACATGAAAAAGCTTATCCAAATGCTTAGGAAGGGGATTGGAGTTCTGAAGAAAGTCGAAACAGTGGGAAAGGGAACACGATGGCAATGGCGGATTCAGGTGCTTGTATGCATCATCTAAACTATCAATGAATTAATTTCCCAAAACTCAGGATCGATCCGATCTTTTCCTTCAATTCCCAGTCATTCTACTTCTATATATGTTCTCAGCTTTCTTAATTATATTCAAATGTATACTTATTTCAGCAGCTGCCACTGACAATAGTGGCATCAATGGTGGAGACACTTCCCAGAAGTTTGCAAACATGCCCTCTCTCGATGAAACGGACTGCCTTTCCGACGTTGATGATGTTGATGTGTGTGAATATGATCGAGTTTGCATACCCTTATTTATTTTATAATGCAGAATTTGGTCTTTATGGTTACTTCTTTTGTGTGTATATTTCAATATGAAGGTGAGTTGCTATATTTGTACTGAAGAGGAGAGAAGACTAAAGAGACTTATTTGGGAAGAATATAACAAACAATATTTTCAGGTAATCAATGCTTCTGCTTATATGCTAGCTTCAGATGTATAAGCCACAGATTCAACCCACTGAGGTTATTAAATCACTTACCACATATATATATATATAAATGTTACTTTGCAGGAGCAAGCAGCTAAAGAAGCAGCAGTTGGTGCTGCTGCCGCTTTAAACAATCTCAATCTTGATGGGATTTCAGATAGATGAACTCTAATCATACATTGATATTTGCATGTCAATTATTCCTTTTTTATTTCAAATTTTGAATACATATTAACACGCAAAAAAACTTTTTCCAAACTTTATTCCTTTATTAATCTAACTTCTTTATTCGTAGAGACACTACATCATTACAACAAGTCTACAACGTAAGTTCTTCAATACTATGACACCATCAACCCAAAATAAACAAACAAACAAAAAAAGAAGATTAATCCTCAGAAATTAGCTAGAACAACGCTACAACGTAACATAATGCATGCATGGGTGTCATCAACGTGGGCAAAGAACCTTCTTGGAAGGTTCGAATGCGAAAGGGCCGACGGTGTAGAGGTTGTACGGCGCTGGTAGTTTGAGTGGAGTGGGGATCAACGGAGCTCCGTCTTTGCCAAGTTTGTAGTTGGTCTTCTCACTGCATTGGCTCAAGGGTGATTTGACCAAATACACCTTGCACTTTCTGTACCCTGCGCTGCTCACTATCTTTGGCATGTAGAACAAGAAGAACCCATTCTTGTCCGTCTTTGTGGTCACAGATAGATGGTACTTTGTGTTGTTGCATGCTAGTTTCACTACAGCTCCTGTTGTATATATAACATTTAAAAGTATTGATTAACACATTAGTATGAACTATATATATAGTCTAATCTCGCAAGATGTAGATACTAGCAATCTTATGTAAAAAGTATAATTAAGAAGTGTAAAATCAAGAGTGTGAGATTAACCCTAGTCCACTTGGTAAATAGTTGACTTAATAACTACAATGTTAAGTGGAGATTTGAGCCATTACCTATATACGAGCAACACTTAGACTTATTTACTGGTCATTTGTTAACTAGCCAGTTACACACTCAAGTAGTGGTTGCGCATTTCCCTTTCTAACAAAAAAAAAAGTGGGATTAACTAACCTTTGATAGGTTTAGCTTTGTAGAGGTTATCAACACCCTTATACTTGCAAGATTTGCAGTAAACAAGCCCACGTACAGCTATGGGTTTCTTTGGAACTGTGGGAGATGGTGGTGGTGGTGGCGGTGGTGAGTGGTGGATGGGTGGAGGGGGAGTGTGAGCCTTGGGAGGAGGCGGTGGTGGGTGAGCCGGAGCCTTTGGAGGAGGGGGCAGTGATGGGTGAGCCGGTGCCTTTGGAGGAGGGGGCAGTGATGGGTGAGCCGGTGCCTTTGGAGGAGGGGGCAGTGATGGGTGAACCGGTGCCTTTGGAGGCGGAGATGAGGGGTGGGTGGGAGGCTTTGGAGGCGGTGGTGGAGGAGGAAGTGGTGAGGGGGCAGGCGCGAGAGGGTGTTTGTGGCGGTGGTGGCGGTGCTTGTGCGGCGGCTTATTAGGCGACGGGACCGGAGGCAATGAGGTGCTCGGCGGTTGTGCAATGTTGTTAGTGCTTAGAATGTCATCGTTTAGGGCAAGCACTGTGAAGGATGAGGCAATAAGCACAAGAAAAGAGATGTGTAGAAGGGCCCTACTTCCCATCTTTCCTAATTCCTAGTTCAACTGATCACTTCCAAAACCCTACAAAGGGAACGTATTTATAGCAGTTTGAAGAGATAGATGCATGAAAAATAAGTCAAAAGTTGGGATTGGAATATTAAGAATGGAAGCATTAGATGTGGCACAGTAGAAGGAAACTCACATGCAGATCAGAGATTCGATATTTTCTTATTCTGATCTTCATGCACATTTTACCCAGGCTAGTAATTATAGTACTTAGCTTCCTCCCTCACTTAACTTAATCCTCTTCAATATAACTTAAACCTGCAGAAAGAGACAGTCTGGATTTCTGGATCCATGGAAGAGTGTCTTCCAAGCTAAGCCACGTACCATCCCTGATCTGCCTCCTTTCAAATGCAAATTTTTCTACTCCCTATTTGTTAAGGGAACAATCAAAATCTTTTCACTTTAAACAACAATTTGTTTATATTTTCAGGGATTTTTTTTTTAAAATAAAATTTATGCAACACTACTTAGCTTGCAAATTAAAGAGAGAGGATTTAGCTACCGTTGTCATTTGAAGGTGTGTACGGTTCTCCATAACTACTATCTAAGAATGTGTATAAGTACAAGATAAATTCTGCTTAATCGCCCCAGCTTAATTAGCTCATTGGTTCAATAGGTAATATTTAGGCTCATATCTAATTAGTAAATTAAGTTTTATTGTGATGGGAGAGATGGGAGCTGGCATACATGGAAAGAAGATAATATAATCCATTGGGATTTAATGATCACAAGTTTAATTAATAACCACTATATCACGTGTTCTTCATCCCAAAGTCATTCCTAGCTCCCCAATCCACAATTTTAATTAATAATTTGCTATATAAAAGTTATGATAATGTCGAGAAGGATGTAAAAAAATTTTAACCTTTCATGTTGTAAAATAAAAATATGATTATTAAAAATAAAATTTAATTTCTAAAAAAAAAAGTCAAAAGAAACCTAGATTTAAACCCCTATATCTTTTACCGCACATAAATGTATTAACTTTCTTCCCCCTCACTTTGAGATATCGCTGGTTACAGTGTGACCAGCCACACTGTGACCAGCGAGACTCGATCCCTTATCATTCTTCATAAACTTCACCCCTATAACCAGTTGAGCTGTCCATGCAAACAACATATCAACTTTATAATTATGAAACTAGAAGACAATAATATTTAATTTATATGTATTTAAAAATTATTTACAAATTTATACTTATTTTTTTTAATATATTTATATATTTTCTCACATTTAATGTCATACACTTGTAAAGTATCATTTTTTTCATATTCCATGATTCATTTCTTATTTTTTAAAATTTTTAAATTTTCTTTTTACTTTTGTGCTACCAAGATAAAAGCAGAATGATATAGGAGGAATATATGGAGCCATTCTTTCACAAAATAAAAGAATAAAAAGGGAAAATGACACTTTTTCCCCCTGAGTTATATACTTATAGTACTTTTTCTCTCTGAATTATTTAAGTGACTCTTTTTTCCCCTGAAATGTTAAATGGACATATTTACCCTTAAAATAAATATTTAAAATAAATAATTCATTTATTTTTCTTCTCCAACAAATTATTACTATAATTTGGTTCAAACCAAACAGATACTATAGCAACCAAACCAAAATATTCCAATTACAATTTATGATCAAAACGCGATATTTAGAGTTTATTAAAATCGCGAACCGGAATGGTCGGTTCATGTTCCGAATTGAAAAAATAAAATACATTTATTGTTGAATTTAGACTATTTTAAAATAAAAAATAAAATTTTAAAATAAAGACGGTTCAAAATTGTGAATCGGATCCGGAACCGCCGGTTCATGGTTCATGATCCAGTTTTTTTTAATTCTTAAATTTAATAAATTGAAATTCAAATATTGGGTTCTAGATCTGAATCATAACCGAAAACTTTTAATTCGATTGCTATAGTGTCTGGTTCAGTTCGAACCGAACCGTGGTAATCGCTACATATACGCAATAATTAGTTGGAGAAGTCAAATAAATAAAATGTTTACTTTAAGGGTAGAAATGTCAATTTAATATATTAGGGGGAAAAACCACCACTTTTAAAATAATTGAGGGGGCTAATGTGCTTACATAAATAATTGAGGGGAAAAAAGTGCTATAAATATATAACTTAGGGGGAAAAAGTGTCATTTTCCTGAATAAAAAAAAAATGGAGCCATTAATTATTAATGAACTTAGATCCCGCAGTGTGTTTGGGAATTCTTTGACTTATTGCATCGATCGCAAGAATTGCCGACTGTTACATTATTTCAATCGAGGATCTAGGTAACTGGTCTATATTAAATTTGGGATCCCCAGTTTTTTTTTTTAATTTTTTTTATTATAAATTGTTGGACCAAATGGGCCTCTAATTTCAGTCCATATATGAGTATATGAACATGGTATATCCAAATTAACATTTTCAGGCCGGAACTATAGTCTAATACCTTCTAGCTCCGAAATAACTTAACCCAGACTCGACAATCGATATACCGTGGACCAGGGTCCATAGTTCAAAATGATATAGTTTTGAATTTTAATTTTGACGGTGATTGTTTATTCTTTAATTTATGTTATATAATTTTTTTTAAATACTGTAAAGTATGTGTATGTGTCTTGTGTTATGCATTTCTGTATCTCATGTTGTGCAATTCTGTACCTTAAGCGTATGGATTCTGTACTTGAAATAAAGTAAATATAACATGCACTTTTGCATCTTATGTTGTGCATTTTTGGTCTTATGTTATGCAATCATGTACCTTAAGAATATTGATTCTGTACCTGAAGTAAAGTAAATATAAAACATGTATATGTGTCTTGTGTTATGTGTTACTGTGTTTCATGTTATACAATTCTGTACCTCAAGCATATGTATTATGTACCTGAAATAGATTAGTAGTTGTGTAGCACACAACATATAGCGTGTCTTTTATTTTACGAATTTATGTCTTGTATTATTAAATTATGTGCTTTTAGGACAAATATTATCTACATAAATCACATTTGAGAATAAGTAAATATATAACATATGTATGTATTGTGAGTTTTTGTGTCTCGTGTTATGAGATTTTGTATCTAAAATAAATTAAAATTTGTGATGAAACATGAAAAACGAGATATTAGAGAATCTGTTAAAGCTTAAATATCAAAACGACGTCGTTTGAATTCAGGTTCTACCATACTATATGGACCATGGTCCACAATATAAATTGCCTTCCTTCAAGTATAGAAATTTATATTTTATTGGAGCACAACAAATATAAAGTGGGTTACAATTTTTATAACAAGCTCAATAAAATGAAGAAAAAAATTAACATGCTAATAAAGTGCTTCTTTAATCCAAAAGATAAAAATCCGATTGTTATTTGTATACTGAAGATACATTATGTGATAATATATATAAAATAATGTATTTTCAGTACTCAAATTTTATTTATTTATTTATTAGTGCACGATATTATTGTTGGTCCATGGGACAGGCAATTAACTTATTTATTTATTAGTGCACGATATTATTGTTGGTCCATGGGACAGGCAATTAACTTGGAATGACTCTTCATAAAGCGTGTAAAGAATTTAATGTCTATATGGACTTCTTACAGTTGTCACTTCGGTGCGAAGAGTCGAAGGCACTGTCGAACACTCAAACTTGATGGAAAAGTATTCATGATATATACTTTGGCTTGAATTGTTATAAAAGGGTTTTAAATAAATTTAATTCTTATAATTTTATACATTAAAAAATGTTGGATCTCTAAAATAAAAGCAAAGTGAATATATTTGTTATTTTTGGAAAGTTTAGTGTGGGGTTAAACATATATACACTACTTTATTATTTTTAAATACAATGTTTTTACTTTGAATAAGCACCAATAACGACATATATAGGCCTTAGGTAAACTAACTTTAACTTGTTCATGTATCAGCTTATAGTTAATAAACAAATCCCAAAAAATCAAACCTACAAATTTATGCTTATTAAATAATTGTTCGACCAAGATTGAGGTGCTCCATTATAACTACAATTCTACACATATGGCCTGATTCAATATTTTCAAAATTTTAAATTTCTTAAAAATCTACATTTTAATTCCAATTTTCCAGATTATAGATTTTGACTACTCCTACTCGCAGGCTGCTGGAACTCTGCAACTATCATTGTGAATATATGAATGCAAATCCATCAATTTTATGTAAAAGTAAAAAAATAAAGAAAATAAAATTGAATTTTGATGGGACTGTGGAGTGGTGATATATAGGAGGAAGAAAAGAAATGAACAATTACACATTCGATCTCTCACCAAAAAAAAAAAAAAAAAAAAAAGGTTATTACATGCAGGCAGATGCCAGATAGTAATGGAAGAAAAGAAACCTAGGTAGGCTAGGCTGTTAATTTAAGGCCAGACGAGATCAACAGAAATCCTGGGCAGTTCCTCTTGGAGTTCCTCTGCTGCCTTGTTGTTATGGGCATTGAATCCTCTGGAAGAATTGTTGTTGTACCCATAGGACTGAGAATTCTTGGCAACCATTGCAGCGCAAGATTTGACACCCGAAGAAGAAGAAGAAGAAAGCAAAGTGTCTATGGTTTCATGTTTGAGAAGCTCAGATATCAAGAGAACAAGAGAGGCCATCCGAATAATGTTTCCAAAGATTTCGATTTTCGCAAGTTAGAATGAAATTAGATTGTGCAAAGAATGCAGGCAGGATTTGTAGACAGATAAAGTAGTTGGGGTCTTAAAAGGTGGCAGTAGCCCACAGTATATTTATGTTTTCTCTCTCCTTTACGAGGTGTAATAAATTATGTTTGGTTGCTGGTTTGGCAAAATACGGGAAGGAGTGTTATATTTAATGGTTTAGGTAAGAAAACTTGGGGCAAGAGAGGATTTATTATAGTGTAACGTCGTTTTCGTGCGGTGTGCGCTTTGGTTTCTACTGTGTAGTCCATTGTTTTATTTGGGCGGTTGAGAAAATAAGGCTCTGCCGCTTCACTTCTTACTCATCTCAGTCACCGCCACCTCCCAAACCATTTGCTCTACGCAATCTCTTCTATCCTATATTATTATGGATATGAATATACACAAAATCAACAATTTTACTTGTTTAATCGTGGGTATTAGTAATTTTAATTAATAATGAAGAAAATCTACAATCACTAATTAAGAAGTTACAATATAATTAAATAAATTTTACTTTAAAACTCTAATCAGCAAAGAATCACAACGAAAAAAATTAGAAGTTACATATAACTAACCCAGTTCATACTAATCAATTTGACTAAAGTTATCCACATTATTGAAAGACTATATTGATTGTTAGAGTAAGTATAATTTTTTTTTATTGGGATGGAGTTCTATTTTGTTTAAAATAAAAATAAAAAATTCCAATCTAAAGGCGGCCCAAGGATCAAGAAACAACAGCTGGTAGACTACAGGTAGAAGACAATTCAACCACCGATGGCGCAGTCACTCTTCCTAACAGCCACCAGCTTGTCCAAAAACACACATCATACATGTTCTGTCCATAAACTCCGTGTAGAAATCAACATCAAGGGGCAAAATTTTTAAAAAAGTCATACCTAAATTTCACTCTGTCCATGGACCAGGTTGAGAAATTTTGGGTGAGGTGGAAGAAAGAGAAAGGGTTAAGATGTTCTACAAAAATGGAGATTTTATAGAGATAGTGAGTCCTACTGTGGGAGTGAGGCGCAACTCTAGCGCCCAGGCTGGTATGGTAAAGCAGCTTAAACGTCCTTTTAAAAACTTAAACTTTGAAAACACCCCAACCAACTTGGTCAATTACAAGTTACTCTCAGTGAAATTCTTGGTTTGAACCGAACCGATCAACTATGCGCAACCAAGTTTACCCAGTACAGATCCTTAAAAAAAAACCTTAAACTTTTACCATTAATTTTATATTTAAAAATAATAACAGACAACTGGTGGGTCTCTGAAAACAAAAAGCCTCAACCAAGTTTTTTTTCTCCCCTCAAAGTAAAAGATGTGGATATACTACACAAGCAGTCTGCTAGCAATTTGGCCAACAAGTTGTAATCAGCAGCTTAGTTTGCTTCATAATTTATGTGATCAGCTGACTCGCAACCTGCACAACAAGAACAGATTTGATACAAGCACAAACTGATTTGCAGCAATGAGATAGATAAGCGGAAGCAAAAAGAGAACTCAAATTGCTCATATGCTTTCTGTAGTTCTGTTGCATGAGATTGAGGCATCTTAACAATAACTGGGGATCACACAATTGTAGGTTCAAACCAAAGCTCTAATGATTCAAGCCTCACTAAAATAGGCTTTTTTGTTTAATGCCAAAAAAGGATGCAATGTTATTTTACTCAATAGAGGCAACCACTCGTATCCCATCAGATAACTACAAATACAAGGCCATTTAACTACAATATGACTCACCAACTGATACTGAATAATAGTATAATACTAATTCAACAAATAAACTGCCAATGAAAGAAGGAGAAAATGGTGTGCTACTATTTCCTTGAAACAACACTCAGACACACTAACCTTATTACAGGTTAATGTCATTTTGTAAGTCTTACTCAGTACTCAATTTCTTCCAGCAAAGCAAAAGAAAAATAATCAAAGGGAAACTAGGGGGCCGTTTACTAACTGGAAACTGTAAAATAGAAAACAGAAAACATGTTTACTAACACAGTTTCCATTTTGAAAACTGAAAATAATTTCTGGAAATTTCTGAAAAACTGAAACACACTTAAAAACTGTTTTCGAAATAGAAAACAGAATCATCTATCATCTATTTAGTTATATGTCACTATAACCACATTACTATGATTACATTCATTATCATCTTATTTTACTTATCACTATCTTCTATCTTTTCTACTTACTTTACTTATTTAAACATAATTTATTTGCTTACACTTTAAAGTTAGACATTATTTACATTATCAAAATTAAGAATTAAATTCTATATAATGTTTTAGATCTTGATTGAACTCAATAGATTATTAGTTCGAATATTTTTAATTATGTTATATCATAATACAAGTTTGGTCCAGATATCGGATATTGAAATCTCACATATATTAGAATTCAAAGTAAAAGTTATATATTCATATACATGTCATTCAAATGAATATATCCAAAAAAAAATATTAAATATTAGTTCAAAAAATATTAATATTATCTAAACTAAATTTTAAGTGAAAACTGAAAATTTAGAAAACAGAGAACAATTTTCTGTTAGTAAACAAGTTTTCTAAACAGAAAACAGAGAATGAAAATTGAAAAATTAGAAAACAGAAAACAGAAAACAGTTTTCTGTTAGTAAACGGACACTAGATTTTCTAACACTTCAATACTTATCCTTGTGAAGAATGAAAGCAAATGTTGGCAGCAAGTTTACACTCATATACAAAGCAAAATGACTTGCAGGGTTATATTAAACAAATATGTTTAGCAAACAAGACAATGAGCATATGCAATCAATAGAATGTCAGAGCTTTCATATGAAGATATGCACATGAGTTGACAGAAAGTATACAAACTCAAGAACAAGTTGCATAACATCTCTTAGAATAGGTGAGAAAGTTCAATTTTTTTTTCAAAGATATGCACATAAGATGAATCTAATAGCAAATTAGCAATTACGCAAACTCAAGAGCAAGTTGCTTATTATCCTTTAGAGGTGTCAGAAGGTTCAGTTCACAGTTAAAGGAGGATGGAGAATAGTAGTAAGAGAGCACTACATGACCATGGGCAAAAGGTTCTGGGCAGTCTCTTGCTTTGCCACCATTTCATTCTATACATTATTATGCATTGCCTTTGAATACTAAATTCCCAGTGGATCATAATGTTGATTATAAACAAAAGGTTCCTACATGCTACACAGTAATGTTTGCAACACTTAATTAGGTCTGAAGACTCTGGCAATAGCATTTGTAATCAGGTTGTGAGACTTGATATGCAGGAAAGCTGAACACTACCCTACACTCCAATTATCTGTTAGTGTTGGCAGCTAGAGAGACACAAGTTTTTTGTTCCACACGCCATACTTAGCACCTTTGATGTTCTTTAAAAAATAATCCTCAAAATTGATACAACTTCAAATTTGAGCATAACACAAGCAATTTAGCAATTTCAAATTTTCAATGTTCTTTCAAAAAGAGCTCAAAATTAAAACAATATATGGTACAAGGCATTATTGCTAAAATTGGCACAATTTGTAATAATAATTAACAATTTCAATATTAGGCATAACTTGCTCTCAAAATTCATAATCGTCTCATTCTTGTGCAATTTTGAAATTAAAGAGAACACCTTGCAAAGGAAAGCAACAACAGCCAGAAATAAACGTTAGTATAGTGCCCAAATCATTACCCTTAAGCCGCTACAGTGCTGGCCTCCTTGTCCTCTGCATCATTAGTTGTCTCGTTTGCTTCACCACCTTCCGCATCCTCTTCAGGTGGCTGAACCTGCTCCTCCTCTGGCAATGGCTCCTCCATATAGTCATTCTCAAACGCATCTGGAGGAACCTCATAGATTCTTACTTGTGGCTTCATTGGGTCCTTAACAAGCACATATTTACCTTCACTCAATTTCATGCACAAGTCCACAATACTCTTAACAATGCCCCACATGTTAGATGTATTCAAATTGATTTGAGCTGCAAAATCTCTCGGCTTATACCCTACCACAACCAATATCACATGGTTAAAGTGATCCCTTGGATGAACCCTGGAAACATACCCCAACTTCATCATATCTGCACTAGACAACAGCGCTTGTGCAGTCCATTTCGCCAATTTATTTGCATTGTTCTTCAACTCAGTAGCTAACACCGCCCCCCTCTGAGTCTCCAACTTCTGTCTCCAGTCTATCCCTGAGTACTTCGAATCAAATTCATTCAGTGCATTCAGGGTCAAGAACGATCTCTGGTTGTTCACCTCAACCACACTATGCACCTCACACCGTGCCACTAAATGCACATCATCATCCAATTTCCACCTCCTGTACCTGTAGGCCACTGATGCCACCTCCTCCCCTTCGGCTGCAAAGGGGTTAGGCTCCTCAAAAGTGAGCTTATTCCCATCCCTTATCAGGACTTGCTGGGAGAAATTCTGGTTTATATAAGCAGCCTCCACGCTCAAGGAATAAGCTGAATTTATATCTTCCTTAACATCAGGTAAAGGCTCCTGAGAAGTCTCGTGCACAGAAAGCAAATCCAGCTGAGACCCATCACGCTTATCGAAGAATAGCTTATTCCCAACCCTCTGAACCACTATGTCCCATGAGTAAACCGACCTAGGAGCACACATTAAGGTCGACAAAATGGCATCAGTAGCAAAAACAGTAGCTTTATCCTCATTAGCCAAGCGGCGGATCACTGGATCGTCAGTGGTGGTGATTTTAAAGAAATTTCGATTCTTAAATCTCTCAAGACGGCGGTCACTCCTCGGAGTAATGCGGTCGAAAGATCGGTCGTAGAATTCGAGACCGCCGCAGATGAGTAAGTCTTCGGGTTCCGGAACAGAGAACGATAGCTTGGAGAAGGTGGAGAAGGGGATCTGGTCGAGCATATTCCACTCCGGTAGGATATCAACTGAGGACTTAAAGACTGCAGACTCGCGGCGTTGGCCAGCATTGGTGCCGGAGCGATTGAGGTTGTAAAGGCGGTCACGGCGAGCACGTTCCTTCTCTGCCTCGCGCTTGCGTGCCTCCACCTCCTCGTCTCGGCGCTGAGGGAGCTGAGAGCGCTGGTGGTGGGGGTTAAAACGCCACCTTGGGTTGAATCTGGGGCGGTTCTGGCCGTGGTGGTGGGACTTGGCGGTGGTGTCCACCAAGCGGAAGGATGAATCCTCGTCGCCGGCTAGAGTGGCGAACGAATCGTCACCGGAGAAGTCGAAGGCAGAGTCCGCCGGGTTAAGCTTGGCGTTGTGTCCAGGGCGGTTTGACAGTGTCCTAGACCAATCGGCGATTCGGCCCAGCCTGTCAGAGCGGGAAAAAGGAGCAAAAGGCACGTTCGACGGTTGGTTGGGAAGTGCGACGGAGCCGGTGGTCGCGTCGGGAGGACCCCAACCATCAGGGTTGAATGGCACCGCACCAATTTCAAATCCCACCATCTTCGACGCTCCGGTCCCTTCTTTGCGAGAGAGTAAAAGAAAGATGAAGAAACTAAAACCCTAGTCGAGGGGTGTATTGGGAACGATAACGATATACTCAGGTAGTTTTTTTTTTTTTTTTAAGAGTAAATAAGAATAATAGTAATCATTATTATAGTGGGAATAAAGATCCAAATTCACCACCTTATTAGGACTAGTATTAGACTCTATACTATATATATATTGGAGTCACATTATACATTATGACTCTCTATCTTAATATTCTTATGATTCCTCTAGTATATATTCTACACTTGTTAAATAATTCATTCAATATAGTTTTATACAATTCTCATCCACCTAATCTGAAGAAGAAAATAGATCACGGAATTAAAAAAAAAAAAAAAATATAATTAGACATTGAACACTTTTTTTTTTAAAGCAAACATTGAACATTCTAAATGTATGTAATTTTACGTAGCAGGTTATCACCCATTTTATCAAGTTGTATGCTTACGTAGATTGTGAGTTGACATTTTTAATAATTTTAAATAATAAACTTTAAAAATAAAAATAAAAACAAGAACGGGGTGGCCGCTGGCCACCCCCTTCCCCGCCCCCCTCCTCCTTTGTCTCCGGTTGGAGATGAAGCAGGAGGAGGGAAGGGGGTGGCCGGCGGTCACCCCGAAGTTTTTTTATTTTATTTTTTTTTATTTTTAATCTTTAAATTTTTTTAATTTTTTTTAAAGTTTATTATTAAAAATGTCAGTTCACCTTCAACGTAAGCAGACAACTCGATGAAATGGAGGTAACCTACTATCAACGTAAGCAGACAACTCTATGAAATGGAGGTAATCTACTATTAGATGAAATTGCATACATTTGAGGTGTTCAATTGTCTAATTACATTTTTTTTTTTGATAGTGTCTACGGGATTCCTTTGATAGTGTGTACGGGAAAATACTCACCAATAACGGTGAAAGTTATATAAACAACTTAGACAATTACATATCTAGAGGACACGCGAAGATCATATCGTGACACAATCATGTATACTCTCGCCCTCTATAAAAGGCTCATGCACCCCAAAGGGGATGTCGACCCTTTAAGAATCAAGAAGGCCAACTACCTGATCAACGATAAATATTAAACTAATTAAGGACAACTCAACTGAATTGGTCGAACAAATAAATTGATAGTTACAAAATTCTAAATTTACTATAAAAACTGTCTGCTAAATTTACTATAAAAACTGTCTGTTAACCTTGTTGGTTTGTGGACTATAACCCTTATGGCACCATCGTTCCTCAAGTTCATTATCATTCAGAATGAGTATTGCAAACTGTTATATACCCTTTATTACATCATATATCATCTACAAGACTACAACCTGCGCAAAATTTAGAAGTTGGCCGCCATGTCCAGTAGCAATCATAACACAGAAACACTATGGGCTACCAAATTAGGAACACCATATAATCTGGAGTTTATTTAAATCAAGCAACGCCTAGCCTAGCAGACATTTACAGTCATGCTCAAAATGAAACGACAACTGTTTTTGCATCTACCATCCAAAATTACAAGAACATTCACCTGTATGACCTAACATTCACAAACGACGCAAGCTAAGACACAACCAAATGCTAAGAGTCGAACCCTTTTGATTTCACGGGGGCCTGGAGAAACTACAGAAGCTATGGAAACTTCGGTTTAGGCATAGTCGAGGTGTTTGACTGTGTTGGGCCAAGTTTTTGGATCCTGTGGAGAAGGCGCCCCTTTTTGTGATCTTGAAATGTTGAATTTGGTACTAGATTGTCTAGAGTTCCGTTGTCTGCAAGTGAGGACTCGAACTGCTCTAACAACTTCACAATCTGTGGGAACTCGGGCCTCTTTTCAGGGTGCAAACACCAACATTGTTCGATCAAAGCTTTCATGGCGGGAGGGCAGTCCACAGGTACCGTTGGTCTCATATTCTGCAATCATAAAGATCATTCATTTTAGAGTTTTATCACGAGATAAAAACCATTGGTTAAACAGCATATTAAGAAAGACCAAGACTTATTCACAAGTCTTCTCGCACCTTTCAAAGAAATTATTCATTTGCCAGTTAAACATAATATGGTGTCCATTGAAACATCATTATCAACAAAGCTTCCCTCTTCCACACATTGAAAGGTAACCAAACGGGAAAATATTTTAAATAGCCAGGTTATATAACACATCACCATTGACCATAACTAATAACACTTGTGATGAAAAGAGCTTCGTCAATTTTCTTTATTGGCATCTAGAAATAATTCTTGTATTGTTATAATCATATGCCAACTTGCAAGTCAAGTCCACAGTCCGATTCCTCGGGCCATACCCACTTGGGTACGATGATGGGAGGTTTATTACCCTTGGAGTCTGCAAAGGGGCACTAGCATACACCTATTTCATTAGGCCTAGACACATGATGTCTTAATCTTAATAATAAGAAAGAATATAATTTGGATCATGGCTTATACTCACATTGCGGTTAGACATAACTGTATGGATACACGATGTTCATTAGGGGACAGGAATCGTATAAGAGAACAATAAGAAAAAAAAAAAGGAAAACATAGCGTTTGAAACTTACCTTGTTCACCACAGCGAAAGCAGCTTGCACGGGTGTCATGTCTTCATAGGGGATGGATCCGGTCACCAATTCCCATAAAATGAGTCCAAATCCGTACACATCAACCTTCCGACCATAGGGCTTGCGCTTGATCATCTCGGGAGCCATCCAACGATACGTACCAGGGTCATCCGCTAGAGGATCACAATATGCCTCTTCACAAGCTATACCAAAATCAGCAATTTTCAGGTGGAAATCCTCGTTGATAAGTATATTCTCCGGTTTGAGATCCCTATGGATAACGCCCTGTGAATGAATGTATTCCATCCCCCTTGCGATATCCAAAGCCATAACAACCAGTTTTTGTAAAGGGAGAGACTTGTGATCAAGCTTGTGAAGAAATGCTCTCAAACAACCCTCCGATAGATATTCAGTGATGATGCAAAAAACCGGCTGCTTTCTGCATGCACCTACAAACTGCATCAAAAGATATTTCCGAACCCAATTAGAAAGGACTTTGAGAACTAGAACGGGAAAAGTTTCAAACTTGGTAACATTCACTTGCAGAGAAGTGTATACAATTCTTATGAGATATATGAAAATATTAAGCAATAAGCAAAAAAATTGGCGTTTTACCTTTATAACATTTTGATGGTGGAGGCGGGATAATAGAGTAACTTCCCTGTTAAACTGGTTCTCCAACCTAAATCCAAGATTTCCATTTTCATCATCATCTGGCACTCTGATAATTTTCACTGCAACGGGTTCATCCTTGTATTTCCCATGGTAAAGTTGACTATGTGCTCCATGTGCAAATCTAAGCCCGAGAAAAAGCTCAGAAAGATCAATCATACAGTCATCCACCGAATCTACAGAGGTAACTCTTCCCCCACTGTGATCGAAATACTTTGTCCAAGCTGATTCCTTCCGTCCTTTTATTTTATCGTGGAACTTCACCAAAGGAAAATGGCGAAGTGGACTTGAAGTTAACGGAGAATTTGAACCCGATGATTTCAAAGAATTCACCTTTTTATCAAAGGAATCCTTGTGCAGGAACTTGCCAACAATTCCACTATCACGCTCCCTCCTCCGAGAGTGTGGAGTTGAAAACCTTTTCGAATTAGATCGAGCTTCCTTAAAGGTATCAGACAGTTTCATTTCTGGGAGGGGTGATGCTGCCCGCTGTTTGTTTGTAGACGGGTTGCGCTGAATATGTGCAACAGTTGGCCGAGTCATAGGATTAACAACGGTTGTCCCAGGTTTCGGTTTTGCGCCTAGATTTCTGCCTGGCTGGACAATGATAGGAAGGGAGGTCAACCTTGCTGCTTCTAACCTATGATAAACAGTGTGAGAGAATTTTGTTCTCCTAATCCAAGATACCTCTTCATCCATCTTTCCACCTACTAAAACACCAGGTAACTACCTCAATCTGTTTCAACTAAGAAGAAGGTTCAGATTCAACAATTCCCTTCAGAAGCCCAAGAAGGAAAAGATGTCTGTACTCCCATACACAAACATTCTCCAGACCCATCAAAGTTTAAGGATGAAGAAACATTCAACCTTTTGGCCTGCAAGAATCCTTCAAACTACACACTAAACCACCATAGACTTATTCTTGAATCACCAACTAAAGCAGAGAGCTCCTAAATCTATCCCTACTTGCCAAAAGATCAAAACTTTACTCTCAAACCAATCCATACCTACCAAGAACAACCTCCATGACCATAAAAGTGGGAGCTATAACTAACAATATGACCTCAAACAGCAGAAGCAAGAAGGCTCTCTTTCAGCTTCAAAGTCAAACACCACCACCACCTTCCTTTGAAGCCTGGAAAATCCCACACACCAAATCCAGAATGAATAAATTAAGTAACCACAAGGATTAAAATAAACAAAACACCCCAGAAATTAGAGAATAAAAGAATTGAAAATTCAAAAGCATGCTCCACTGGCTTGAAGATAAAGAAATATCAATCATGACAATCCCCATTAACCTACCAAGTACCAACGGAGCTAATCATTGCTGCGATGCACAATCACACAGAACAAGAAAGACCCATTTTCTTATTATTATTATAAAAATAAAAATAAGCACAGGGGATCTGGTTACAAATGCACTCACCGTAAGCATACATTTCCCCCTAATACTAAACTCCCTCGTTCTTCAAAAGATTCTCCGGGAAAACCCCCATCTTTGACGCGAATGCTCCCTTTCTTTTCTCTCTCTCTCTCTCTCCCCGTCATAAAAGCTCCAATCTTTAAAGAGGGGGCAAAGAAAAAACAAAAAAATCAGAGCCCCATTGATGGTTACAGACTTACAGTATTCTATTCACCTTACGACTCTACGTATGTGCGTGTTTATACAGACAAGTATACGTAAAGCAACTGTAGATGATTCCTGTGGACCCGGTATTGTTGCTAAGGTTTCTTTTGAGTTTTGAGCCCGAGGGAGGGGGGGGGGCGGTGGTGTTCAGTGGGCCCTACCGGAAAAGTCAAAGAAGAGATGGGAGGAGACTTGGGAGATGAGATGGCCAATCACAGGAATATGCTTTTTTTTTTGGGAGAAAGAAACAAATGTCGCTATCGGAAGAATTGAAGGTACGGGAATTAAAGGAGAAAGAAAACTGAGATTTTTTTTATAATAATAATAATAAGTACTCCGTATATTATTATTATTTATATTATTATATATAATAAAAACAGTATATGCTTAAATGGTACGGTGCGCACGGATACGGGTCATTAACGCCCTAACGGTTTTAACAAATGGCTTTATTTAACGGTTTTGGGTCGGGTAGTGGACCACTAAACCCGCATGTGGATCCAATAGAGTCTGAATCCAATCCGTTTCTCCCTAATTTTATAATTAATTCCAATTTTATTACAATTTCAACTGCTCCAGATTTGGTAAATTTTGAGACAAACTGAATTACCAATCGAATATTCAGACTTTAAAAATAAAATAACAAATATTACTATGTATATATACATATTTTCGAGTATATAATGTGTAATTATAATTTTTATCTATTTAAAGTTATTTTATTCTTTAAAATTGTTCTGTATATAGTACGAATAGTTACGCATCATCAGCACATTTCATCTTGGGCTTGGCTCCACCAAGCCGGACAACAAGGACTTTAGGACTGAGTCCTCAGCCATCGGAAAGTTGAGAAAAAGCCAAAATGGTCAAGCGTTTGAAAAGTATGCACATGTAATGATATAATACCAAAAAAAAAAAAAAAAAAAAAAAAAATCTGCCCAGAGATATTCGAATAGTTGAAGCATAATTTTTATATTAAAAAGTCAAAAGTTTCTCTCTGATTCTTATATGTGATTTATAGATTATTACACATAAGTTCGCGTGTCTTTAAATAATGGTTGCACATTTATCTCGTAATAACAAATAACAAAAAAATGACTCCTTACAATTTTAAAACTTTCACGGTTAGAGCATCTACATTAGAGGAGAAATGGAGGAGAATTTACTACTTTTGAGGCTAAAATACCATGGTGGCAGAGATAGAAGGGGTGGGAAGCATTTGCAAAGGTTGGGATATTACTCTGGCCAAGAAAAATGAATTAATGATGGAAGAGAGAGAACCAATAGAGAAATGACATGCTTATTATATATATTTTAAATCAGTTTTGATTTTTTTTCCTCCCCTCCCACATTATTCTCTTTCCTACTCACTCTTACATTCTCCCCCTAATATCCCCATCTGATAAGTATGCTCTTAGGTCGTCCCTAATAGGGGAATTTTGCACAGATTTTAAGAAAAAAAATGATGTGTTGGAGGAGAGAGGAGAGAGAGGAATGGGGTTGTTCTGTTATTTAGGGGATTTTGTCAGGGTTTTGGGGTTTTTTTTTTTCAATTTTTGAAAGTGAGTTAAAATTGTAGAGATGTAGAGAAAAAATAATGATGTGAAAGTAAGACTCACTTTTAAAAATAAGATAAACTTACAAGGATAAAGATAACCTTAATTACGAAAAAAGTATAAATTACAATTTGTGTATTTTTAATTTTTTTTTTAGGATAAAAATTTGTGTAAATTTTTTTTTAGGATAAAAATTTGTGTATTTTCATTTTCATTACTTTAATTGATTTATAGTAACTATGGTGAGAACTCAATGTATTATTAATTGGCATAATATGACTTACAAATTCATAAATATGGATCATGTGTACATATAACCTATAAAGTTGTAGAACGTGTTATGTGCATATTTATATCATATGTATCCTTTGAGGTGATGTGAATGTTATATAATAAAGTAGTTTTGAACAATGTTAATAACATATTGACAGGATAATTGGAAACGGCGTGGTACTCGATTCAGAGAATTAACTTAAGGAGACCAAGGGACACGTAACGACGGTAACACACTTGATTCCTGATTCAGAGAATCAACTCAAGGAGACCAAGGGACACGTAACGGCTCTGTTTGGCAAACCTAGCTAAAAAACTATAAGCTAGAAGCTGAAAGCTGAAAAGCTATAAGCTCGGAGCTGAAAACTGAAGAGCTGTTAAGCTAGTTGTTATGATTGAAAGTGTTTGGTAAAATTAGTTTGTTGATAAGCTAAATGTAAAAAGACTAAAAAGGACATCTACATGTAATTTAAACTAGTTTGTTTATATATTAAAATTTAACATTTTCTTTTAAAAAAATTAACATTTTAAAATAAAACTATTAGCATAATCATGATCTAGCATCTCATAATAAAGTAGTAATATTGTTGCAAATATAATAATAATAATAATAATAATAATAATAATAATAATAATAATAATAATTGCGGTGAAAGTTGCACATAAAGGAGAAGAGAAAAAAGTTTTAATTGGGAAGGGTAAATTATGTTATTTCTTTAAAATAATAAAGATAAAGATGGAAAAAAGTTAGGAAGCTAGGAGTTTATTTTGAAATGCTACTTAAGGTAGCGTTCCAAAATAAGCTCTTATTTTAAGCTAGGAGCTTATTTTGGGAACATTACCAAATAGAGCTTATAGCTTATTAGTAGCTTAAAATATGTTATAAGCTCCTAAATAAGCTATGTCAAACAAAGCCAACGACTACAACACACTTAAAAGGAGACAACAACATTTACTCCACACTTAAGAGGAGGCAACTGACACTTTACGCAGCACTTAATGTTGGCTCGCAATTATTGGAAGTCTGTTACACTTAACAAAGAAGTAGTTGCACCTGTAGCATAAATAGCGGACCGTGTAATAAATAGAGGTTGACTTTGATTCTTGTACTCCGCGCATAATAACACAACTCTATTTATTTCCTAATATATTTGGTAACCTTATTTAAGGACTTACCTCATCCACTAAATTTTAAAAGCATAGCAATGGAGACACTCGGGATTGAATTATTTGATTTTTTTTATATCATAATGTATTATAGATCTTTTATTAATTTTACTATAGAATCTCAACCACTCAAATATATGAATAGTTAAGATGTGGCACACAGCATCACCGTGTGGGATTTCTTAACCTTCCAATATAAAATACTCAGCGCATATATATCATTTTCTTTGCACATATTCTTTGCACCTATTGCCTATTAGAATATTGTTATATTCTTTGATTTACAGGGATTTTGTAATTTGAGATGTATACGGAGTAAATCTCACCTTGCAACCTTAGTTGACAAAGAATCACAATGAGATAAATCAGCTTAGGTTATTTATAATTGTCCAGCTCAAACCAAGAAGGCCGATCGACATCTCTTATGAAAGTTAACTTGAAATCTTATAATTACAGACTGTTCGACTAACTTCGTTGGGATTGCTCGAATATTATATTCTAATAGTGGGTAAAGTTGGGTTATTAAAAGAAATGTTATATGCCCAGGAAAGTGACTAAATGGTTGATGTGCCAATTGCCAACGCTTTAACTGGTCGAACTGTGTGCCAACGCAATCAGGGAAGGAGAAACACAAAATCAGCTCAATCTGAAAGCAACATCCATCTACTTTAATATATATACAACAAGAAAGATTCAGAAATCATCTTCATTAGTATAATCACAGTCATAGTTACCATCTTCATCATGATAAAACATATCCTCCCTATAACATTCTTCATCTTCCTGGCTCTCACACTGGTTCTCTTTGCAGCTTTTATGCACTGTGTCTGCTTCATCTTGTAGCTTAGATTTCTTGGCAGGTGGCTGCAGGTTATTACCAAACAGTGTTTGTGAGATGTAAAATAGATTAACATCTTAGAAATGGGCTGCCATTATTTCGAAGAAAATGAACAAAAACGTGAGCCATATGTAAAGAACAGACAGCACATACATTGTCATCATCAAACAGTGTCTCCAGCACATCAAAGTTGATTTTCGAACTTAGTCTCTGGAACACATGTAACATGGAAGTCAGGCAACTGGAATGAAAAGCCACATGCCTTCAACTGCCTTAAAGAAATAAATTAATAACCTTTCTTCTTCTGCTATTAATCTTTTATTAGTATTAGTTCTCTTTTATGTTGTCCTTTGGATGACGGTCTATAATGTTACATGAAACCTAAAGTTGTGATTCATGCATTCCATCTCAACTAAAAGTTGCTCTGATACCAAATTGAAGCATGTGTTCCACCTCAACTAAAAGCCTAAGCTGATAGTTGGATTGCACATTAATGGTTATATGCTCAACAGAATACCTTTTTCTGTAGCATTTGCCGGGTTGCTTCTGCAGCAGTCTGAGCAGGAGCAGCAGTTTTCGCTTCTGCAGCACGCTTCTGTCTTCGTTTCTGATTCAAAGACAATCAAAGAGCAAGGAAGACGATAAAACACTATACTATGAAGAATAATCCAAACTATACTATTACATTATAGATATACTTTATAGATCCATTTTTGACTAGTTTTCATGATTTGCTTTACAAAAGTTATAAGGGAGTGACCCCCGACCTCTCTTGATTTTGCCACAGCAGCGGCTGCTGCAACTGCAAGTTCGTATGCAGCTTGCACATCATCTGAAAGCCCGTCAAGATTGTTTAAAGCGGCAGCAGCTGCTTCTTTAGCTGCTTGCTCCTGCAAAGTAACATGGTAAGTGGGTTGAATCTACCTCTTATAAATCTCGATTGAGCATATAAGCAGAAGCATTGATTACCTGAATATATTCTTTGTTAAGTTCTTCCCAAATAATTCTCTTTATTCTGCTCTCCTCTTTAGTATTAATATACACGTTCATCTTTATATTGAAATATACACACAAAAGAAGTGACCATAAAGACCAAATTTTGCAGTATAAAATAAATAAGGGT